AGAATGGGAAGCTGAACAAACATTGAATCACCAGCTAGAACATATCCTTGCTCATGAAGCTGCTTCTGGTCCGTTATTCTATCTGAGAAGAGTATCGAATACCGAGGCCCATTACTCAAGCGTAGGATTAGACTTTAAGCAGGCACGCCATGAGGCAACATGCTCAGAAAAGACACTTACCTGTTTGGTATCTTTGTTTCTTTGTAACTAGTAATAAAAAAAAATGCGTATTGGAAGAATTTCTCTTGAGGATACAAAATGTAACATATTCTTGGCCCTGACTTGTCATCTAGTAAGAGCTCAACAATGGGTAATTATTTGTAAAACCCACTAATCTTACAGATTTTCTTCAGTCTCTGTTTCTTAATCATGAGTCTAATGATTTATGACTCCTGTAACCACCACTCAAACTGTATAATCAAGAATTTGTCTGATGTATCCAACATGGTGCAACTGTCATATAGTGTTTGCCTAGGCACCTCCTAATGGATTTTCTTTAATTCTGAAATTTGCATGTATGAAGACAGACTCACGGTTTTCCTTCCTGGATGTGCTTCATATCACCTATATTGTGATGGTTTATCTTAGTTATCAGCTTTATACACAAGGGAAGACCGAACTTCAATTGAGGAGCTGCCTCCATCATACTGGCCAGTGGGCACGTCTGTGGGACATTCTCTTAGTTTCTGACTGATGGAGGTGGGCACAGCCCAGGGTGGGCAGCATCATCCCTATGCAGAGACCTGAGTTCTGGCAGAGAGGGGGCTGAACACACCCTGGAAGCCAGCCAGCCACTAGCTTTCCTCCAGTTTCCTGCCTCTGCTCGGGTGTATGAGTCACCCCTGCCCTGATTCCCTTCAATGACTGGGATGTGTAAGTCAAATAAAACCCGTCCGCCTCAAGTTGCTTTTGACCACGGTGTTTGCCATAGCAACAGAGAGCCAACTAGGACACACACACACACACACACTGTCCTTTATGTTATAGTTTGTTTCAATTATTATTACACTTTTCTCTCTTCCTTAATAGCAGCCTCACCCCCACCTTGCACATAGATACAACTTGAGAAGTCACTTCAGCTGAAACGCTGACTTTCCAAAGCAATCAGTGGGCATGAAGGTCACAGAGGGCCGGGCATCCTGGACAGCTACTTCCACCCACCAGCATGGTCGGAGACAATTCTGATTTGTACTGTACAGAATGGGCTGCTCCTATGGATCATGCAGAGTTGGGATAGCAGAAGTGCAAGCAGCTAACAGCAAACCTGTGACTACCAAATTCACGAACAGGCAAGATTCCCAGACCCCTGGAGGGCCCAGGACATCTGCAAGCAGAGAATGGTCTTCTTTCAAAGGAAACAAGCTGTTGGCGTTAAGGGCCTGCAGTCCCTTGTGCTCATTAAAACATAGAAAACATCCACGGCTCAGCCTGCTAGGGTCAGCATTGCCGGAATGGATGAAGCCTATGCTCATGGGTTTGGGCTCAGTAACTCAGGAATCCCAGCAGCCTGAACTGAAGTCAGGCAGTGTGCTGGCATGTCCCTTCACTGCTGTGCACAATCTTTCTCCAAAATGGGATCACAGAAACGTTTCACTTAATCTACTGTAATTATGATGAGAAGTGACATTATTTGTCTTTGGAATATCATAACTACTCCACTCCACTCCACTCCAACATTGTTTCTCTCTGAGCTATAGTTTCATAGTTGGTCAAGAAGAGCCAGTGCAACAATTTCAGTTGAGTGCACTTGGCTAGTGAGAGTTTGTGCTTGCTACCAGATGCTCTCTGGTCCTACCAGAACTGTTGCAATACATGTTATTCTCATTCCACCCTCGGATTTGAACCTGGGCAGAACCTTTAAGCCTCCATCGCCTAGCGGAAGGCTTGCAAGTGAAAGCCCCACACTCGAAACAGAAGAAAGCTAAGTTGAGAGCTTAGGCGAATCCGTAGTGACAGGTCAAGGTGCTTACATGAAGCTGGCAAAGGACACAGGATGGCGCTGACCAGGCCAGGCCTTCTAGGGATACAGAAGCGGTTGTCATCACAAATGGCTGCATGAACTGTGCACCAGACCGGAAGAACCAATCACAATTAAGAGGCTGCAGCTGGGATTGCGCCATTGTTTCGTGGCATGTAAATCAGGAGGACGAGAAATTGCCATCATGGAACCTAAGAAACATGGTCCCTATGGTCTGTGTGACAAGGGCAACTCTTGGATTCAACTGATACTCCACTTTCCCACCTAATCTGTGCCCCAACTAAAGGGATGTGTGTAGAATAAAAAATATTGGGATTATCTTTTCTATTTTTAACTTTATAGTGTAGCAATGTATTCCAGATAACTTTGCATATCAGCCTATATATGTGTGTATATACAGCCTATATATAAGCATTTCTAAAGATTCCACACTGTTCCCTTGTATTAACTTACTGTAATTTTCCAAATCACCTGTCAACGAATGAACATCTTGACTGTTTCCAGTTTTCTATGTTACAAACAATACTGCAGTTGCTGTTACCCTTTAAAGTTATAATATTGATTTCTCATTTATCTAGTTTTTGTAATTTTAATTTTCCATATCTTCAAAAGCATTGGGGGACCGTTAACAAGTTTTAAACTTTGTGTCTTGTGTCACTTCATTTTTAATTCTTTCATATTCACAAATCTGCATGTTTATAGGACATTCGTACTTCCTTTCTTCTGAGCTCCTAGTTCATCCACCTGTGCATTTTCTTAATAGATATGACAGTGATTGGAAATAACCAATTAGTACAGTTTCTTAAACTCTCAAGTTTGTTCTTTCCAAAGCATTTTTAAGGAGAGAAGCATTCACTATAGCTAATCTATCTGACTAGTTTTGCTTTTTAAAACAGTTTTTAACAACAAGCCTGGAAGGAAATGTACAAACGTATTCACGAGTAGTGAAGTCATAGGTGTTTTTCAGGTTCTCCTTCAGTTACTGCTTCTCAGAACCCTGACAAAGCCTGTTTACCCCTGTGATCACAGAGATCGGAAGCACGGTTTTGGAGCTATGGCTGACCTCTGCACTTGTGTGGTTCTCCTCTGCCTGCAAGTGAAGGGTCAGGGGGTCAGACAACTCTGCAGTCCAGGTTGGAGGTTGCGGGAGACTGATTGATGTGCCTCCTGCAGACTTCGTTTCTGAGGAAGACCTTAGTTGTGTGCTTGGTTTGCTGTAATTTGGCATTTACAAAGAAAACAGATGGCTTCAAGAGTAACCCAAGCTTTTTTAAGCTTCTAGCTTTTCTATGCAAGTCCATAGTGCCTCAGTCCTCACCTTAGAAGGTTTCCCCAGGAGCTTCTGGCCATTTGTTTGACTACTCTGACCTCCTAATTACCCATTTCATTGGGTCAATTTGGCATCACCCCATGGAAGGAAGACCTTTCTCTCCTATCCTTTCAGAATCTCCATGGATTGCCGAGCAAGATTGTTGACACAATAGACCTGACTGAAGCTAGAGGCTTCCACGAGACTGCAGAGCATGGGGAATAAGCCAGGAAGTGGGGATCGAAATGGAGCATCACAAATCCTGGCTCCTCCCTGGCCCCAGACCAGAGCTTCTTCTCCCATTGTTATCTCAGAGAGTGCTTTCCCTCACATCCTCAATCCTGCCCCCTCAGCAGACAGGGGAGACCCCAGGAGCTGTTGTCGGCGCAACAGACATGGGCATCACTTCCCAAGGCGGTTCAGTCTTCACCTACAGAAAGTTTAACCACTTCCCTACGCCCCAGATGAAGCATAGACAGAAATAAGGGAAAGCTTTTTTTCCCCACTATAGAAGAAAATGTCTTCTAAGAATTGTCTTCTTAGAGAAGACAGAAAGGAGAAACAGCAGACAGTCCTCAGGACAACAGGGAGGCTGCCTCCTTCTCTTGTCAGCTGCATGTCCCCTCAGGCCTGTGGGAAAGCTGCCCTCACACAACACCAACAATTGACTATCCCAACTGTAGTTATGGATGAACAGATGCCAGGATTCTGCAGTCCGGGAGACAGGACTTTAAGCATCACACTGTCTTATGATGATTCAATTCTGAGTTGATGTTTTTGCTTTTATTTTAATTAAAAAAAATTATGTGCACTGGTGTTTTGCCTGCATGCATGTCTGCATGAGGGTGTGGGGTACCCAAGGACTAGATTTGCAGATAGTGTGAGCCGCCATGTGGATGCTGGAAATTGAACCCCGGGTTCTCTTAGAAGAACAGCCAGTGTTCTCAACCACTGAATCATTTCTCCAGTCCCAGTGTTCTTGCTTTTAAATTATACATTTCTGTTGGCCAGACTTTGAGCTCCTTTGTAGAATCGTTGGCTTGGTCATTGACCTCTAGTGTTTTGCAGAGAACAGGGCAACAGCCCTGCTGGCGTGGCTAATGGCCTGGCAATCCTGAGTGACCTGAAGCCCTGCCATATGCTGGAGCCCTCAACAAGGGTCTACAGAGACAACCCACAGCTAGGCTGTATTTTTCTTTCTATTATCCCAAATCTAGTGTCCTTGAGAAATGTTTATTTTGTTAACGTGACCTTGGCTTCCTTTGAATTTGATGTGTTATCTATGTTTCCTCTAAGTATGATTGTTATTGCTTCTATTTGTGATAAGAACAAAACACAAAATGATTTCTGCTTCCAGCACTATGAGATAAATGTTATTATCCTCACTTAACAGCCAAAGATCACCCCGGAAGAACAAAGTGCCAGGCCCTGTGGGATCCACCCTCCCCACAGGGACTCATGCCAAGTCACACAAAGTGCCATGCTCAGCTCCTGGCCGGGGCAAGGCAGTGGCTGTGGCTTTTCCTGACGCTGGGAGGACGGAGGAGGCTGCTGTGTTTCAGACTTCCTGCTCCTTTCAAAATAAGGCACCTTCGCATTTTCCCATTTCAGGCACGCCAAAGAGAAATAGAACGGCCTTTATAAAGAGCTCAGAGAAGCAGACAGTTCTATGACACTTCCCAGCAATGTACAAAGACAAAGGAAAATACACACCTGGAGAGCTCCTGGTGGGTTTGGAAATGACAATGTGGCCGCAAGTAGTCCCAAGTGCCAAACTTTCTTGGCTGTTGGAAGGTGGCCTGCATCGCATAGACATGTTCAGCCGACCTCCTTACTCATAGTTTCTACATTTTGATTTTCCTACTTGTTGACATTTGTTCGCGGCCCGACCGTCCATTCTCGTGACACCCACCGGGTAATCATTCATGGACATGAGCAGAACACTAGAAAAGGTGTCACCCGGGTGTTTACATTTCCAAGCCAGTGGAACCAGGGTCTGCCCTGCCTCCTGGCTTTCACTCTCATCTTACAAGCCAGTGTCCTTTTCCTGTTACATTTCTGCGCCCTTTGTTGGCAATTACTCTGTTTAAAATGGGCCCCAAACACAACACTGAAGAACCTCCTAGCGTTTAGGAAACGAGAGTTCTCAACCGAGAAATTATGTCAATGTGCTTCATTCGGTTAGTGCTGCAAGCTCTGTATAGAGCTAATGAGTCAACAATGTATATTAAATAAAATTTCTTCCAAAAGATACTTCATGTTTATTTGATTAGCAGAAAAAGTGCCCCGAGAGGAGGCGAATGGGAACTGACCTCGAGTCCCCCGGCAAGCAATAGTTTGCTATTCACTAACGTGGTGAATTACTGATCCAGCGAAGGAGAGACTATGCAACACAGCTATCATGAGAATGAAGAACCTATTATATATTTACATGTGCAGTACATTTGTGCATGGATGCATTTGTGACTGTCGTATCCCAATTCACTGCAGTCTTGAAAAAGTCAATCTGTATTATTCATTAATAAACCTTGGAGAAAAACATTCCCAACTGATAAAGTATATTTATCTTAATTAGGGATGAAAGGTCTTGGGGCTGGTTTTGTGTTTTTAACTAGCTATCCTTCCAATCAGTACTAACTTTGTTGTACCAACATGGGAATGCACTTGACTACTGTCTAGGAGCAAGGGGTGCTGGCTACAATAGTTTGCAGATGTTACTGCAAAACATTTACTTGGTATCTTACTGCATTCCAAGCAACATTTTCATTCCAGACATCTGTCTAAGAGTTGGTTATCTAGTTAATAAATGGACGTTTGAACATAATATTTTGTTCATATCTCTTTGGACCATGTATCTTTAAACAACTAAGCCTTAAATGCCAACTCCCGCTGAGTCAGACCCTCCACAGACTAACACTGCCTCTCTGGTAGGCACAGCCGGAGCAGTCCAGGGCTAGAAAGTCCCGTGCTCCCACACGAGGGTGGAATGGACTCTTGTCAGTTTCTTTATCTTGCTGTAGCAACACCTGCCAGGAGCATCCCAATGTCTTCAGCTTACGCTCTTTGTCTGGATGAGTGGTTTCAGTCGGCCTGAAATCAGGGGGCGATAGCAACTAAACATAGACTTAAAAGGGGGGGGACAGGTTGTTGGTTCAGTTGGTAAAGTATTTTCTGTATAAGCCTGAAGACCTGAGTTTCAATCCTGAGCACACACGTAAGAACCAGGAAGGCAGGTGCCCATAGTAGCAGGCTGGCCGCATAGACAGAAGGATCCCTGGGGGCTTGCTGCCTAGCCAGTCTGACCAAGTTGGGTTCAGTAAGAAACCCTGATATATAATAAGAGATAGAGGGTGATTGAAGAATACATTCAGTGTTGCTCTCTGGCCTACACACACACACACACACACACACACACACACACACACACACACAC